GAGCTGCTGGAGACGTGCAGGTTGAGGAGGGGAAAAGGGCCAGCAGGAGCAGGTGCGGCGCATCGGCAGACACTGTTCCGCGCAGGTGCTGTCCAAGATTGAGGGTTACCTGTACTACCTTATGAGTGCCCTCCTGGGCAGACCGCGCCTGCTACCCTGGGCTTTCGTTCTTCGTGGTTGCCCCCCTGCCAGTCGCAGTCAACTGCTCTGATACGTTCTTATGTTCCTCGTGTGGTCTTCCTCTTCCCCACTCCTCTTGTTTTTCCTCCTCTTCGTCCTCCTGGATTTCCTCTTCCTCCCTCCGCTGCTTCAAGGCCCCCCTTTTCTCGTTTGCCGTGTTACGTGTGGTTTACCATGTTCTCTCCCTGGTTCTTCTCGCTTCGCGTCTTTTCTCCCGCCCTCCTTCCCTCATTCTCCCCCCCCCGATCCTGTCCTGATCCCATCATAATTTCCCCCCTCCCCTGACCCCTTCCCCTCCTCCCCCTCCACACCACCACCACCACCACCACCACCACACGAGACCCATCGTGCTCCCCTATCCCGCTCCCCTCCCGATCCCGTTCTATCCCTCCGTGACCTCGTCGATCTCATGATTCGCGTCCGCGGCCCCCGTTTCCGTGTTGCGGGGGGGATAGATATTGGAGGGGAGGGGAGGAAGATGATCAGGAGCATGAGCAGGGGGAGGATATCGAAGAACCAGTTGTTCCCCCTTGTTCGCCGTCTCCCTTCTCTGAAGTGGATGATGGCGAGGCGGAGGAGGATGAGGAGGAAGCGGAAGGCGAGGTCGAAGAGGAGGACGACGAGGTTGAGGTCCCGAGCGATGGAAGGAGCGTTTGGCGACCAAACGTTTGGCAGTAGAAGAGACTGAAATACCACTGCTGGCGCACGACGAATTGTAGCACGGCAGTCCAGGAACCCTACAAGCGGAGACTGCGGGCTTCGTGCAGTCAGACGGGCAGGCAAGGACATGCTTGCCCGATGGTACTTGCCAGGCATGTCACGAGATAGTTTTGCTTGTTCGTCGGCACGCGTGCTGGGCTCGACAGGAGCGCCCCGTGCATTCCAAAAGACCAGCGGTTCCTGGCGCGGCCCTGTGCTGTTGTCCATGCGCCTCAGGCCACGCACACCACCACGGACCCGAAGCGCTCGTCTTGATGGCCGGACTCTGCGTAAAGCTTGCGCTTCTCCAAGGCGGGGTTTTCTGCTTATCCACCGCGTGAGAGACCGATCTTCCTGGACATTGGACGGCTGTGGGCATGGGCACTTTCGAGCCCCAGGGGGGCCGCACTATCGAATGGCATCTGGTTCATCCCGCCACCGCGCATGGGTTGCAGGTAGGAGTTTTCAGGGATGTTTTTTGGGGTTTCGTTTGAGCGGTCTCGGGGCATTTCGGGGACATTTTGTGGTGGGGCCTCTTGGGGTTCCCTGGGGGCCTCTTGGGGGTGTCTTAGGGGCCTCTTGGGGGTCTCTTAGGGGCTGCTTGGTGGCCTGCACGGAAAGTTGCGTGCAATGTGCTTTCGGGGCAGCCGTTTGGCTTTATATAGTGGGGTTCTAAACCCATAGCGGGGCGGGTTCCGCCCACAGTTTTCTGCGTGGTGATAGCTGAGCGCTGCTAGAGCGTGGGCGCGACGGCGCCAAGGCCACCGACGACGCGCTCGGGTGACGACCAGAGCGACGAGTCCAGTGATCAGCGGGTCGCGCGAATGACGTGGACGCGGCGGAAGAGCCGCGGGAGTGAGAATGCAATCGGTCAGAGTCACGACGCTTGCAGCGAAAATCTGACAGTTTTGAGACAGTCGTTCGCAAACAAATTTGGACGTTTTCAAGCAGTGGTCTCGGGCGCCTCTTGGGCCGTCTTGGGCGGCTTTTGAGCCGTCTGGCGGCCCTCTTGGGCCGTTTTGGGAGCGTCGTGGGGGCCTCTTGCGCCGTCATGGAGCGGTCTTGGGGGCCTGATGGGCGGTCTTGGAGCGTCGGGAAGCTGAAAAGGCGAGAAAGCGAAGCACATTGAACAAACAATGAAAGTCAACGGTTTTGGCCTTTTGGGGCCCTCTTTGGAGGCCTCTTGGAGGTCTCTTGGGGCGTCTTGTGGGCCTCTCGGAGCGTCTTCGAGGCCTCCTGGGGCCTCTGGGAGGCTTCTTGGGGCATGTCGGCGGCCTTTTGGGGCGTCTTGGAGGCCTCTTGGACCGTCTTGAGGGTGTCCGGGTGCCCTCTTGGCTTGTTTTAGGGCCCTCTGCCCGTTCGTGACGCGCTCAGTCCGGGGTCTGGCGCGGCCGGTGTGTGTGTGTGTGTGTGTGCGTGCGTGCGTGCGTGCGTGCGTGCGTGCGTGCGTGCGTGCGTGCGTGCGTGCGTGCGTGCGTGCGTGCGTGCGTGCGTGCGTGCGTGCGTGCGTGCGTGCGTGCGTGCGTGCGTGCGTGCGTGCGTGTGTGCGTGCGTGTGTGTGTGTGTGTGTGTGTGTGTGTGTGTGTGTGTGTGTGTGTGTGTGTGTGTGTGTGTGTGTGCA